CTCCACCCACCTATTATCTGTACTTGTGAACGTACTCAAGAAATACATCTCAAGTAAGTTATTAGATCTCCAACATCTACCCTGTCTGATTTGCATAGTTCGCAGTCCCGTTTGGTTCAGAGAATATACCTCAGTAGGTAAAGAAAAACGGACTTTTTTTTTACAGGATAAAGAAAAATGGGCCTTTTAAAAATCAGGATAAAGGAAAATGGGTCTTTTTATCAGAATAAAGAAAAATTGACTTTTTTATCAGGATAAAGGAAAATGGGTCTTTTTATCAGAATAAAGAAAAATTGACTTTTTTATCAGGATAAAGGAAAATGGGTCTTTTTGGTCAGAATAAAGAAAAATTGTGAGGCAGCATGGTGGAATCAGGCTCTCGTCAAAGTAAATAAAGTGAAGAAACTTGCATTTTTCCGCAGGTTTTTGAATTTATATAAAATTTTTTAGTTTTTTGGCTCAACACCTTTCATGTCCCTTAAAGAACTCATTTCTGTGTGGATTTTTCTGAAAACGTCGGTTAAAGGCACAACAAAATTTAAATTTTCAGTTACCACGGACTCTTGAGATAAGTAAATAACTAATCTTTGGTGGCCATTTTCTCAATAATTTTACATCTGAAAACAGGTGACCCCCATCTCCTTCCTTCGCAAATATCTCGACTTCTATTCAAGATAAATGGATATTTTTTTCATCCAAATAAAGACAAGTGAACAAGCTTTAAGATGATACCAATAACTCTACATGCCCAAAAATTGACGAGAGCCTGATTCGACCACGCTGCCTCACAATTGACCTTTTTATAAGAATAACGAAAATGGACCTTTTTATCAGGATTTAAAATTTTACTTTCTATTAGGATAAAGAAGATGGACCTTTCTATCAGGAAAAAAAATTGACATTTTCATTAGGATACAAAAAATGGACGTTTTATCATCTATGCTGCTGCTGCTACTAAGTTGACCACATCTTGTCCCACCCAGCTTGATTTACCCGGCCCGTCTTACTTTTACAAATGCAGCTTTTGGGACACCTGAATAGAAGTAATTGTCTTGAACATCTAGCTCTCACTGGCAAAACTGAAGGCAAACGAGGCATGGTTAGGCACAAAGCAAGCTATTTAGGGAACCTAAACAAATGGGTAACGGGGAAAGATCAGGGAAACAGCTTTTTTAACAGCATCTGAGCAAAGGAATGAATGGAGAACCATGATCGCCGATGTCTGTCACAGATCTGGCACTGGATGATGATGATGATGATGATGATGATGATGATGATGATGATGATGATGATGATAATGATGATGATGATGATGATGATGCTGTCTTACTTTTACAGGTATTTCAGAAGCGCTTTGATAACAGTGTGGCCTTCAACAGAGACTTTGCCAGCTACGAAGATGGTTTCGGGGACATGGACGGAGAATTTTGGCTTGGTCTGTCTCTGGGAAGTTGGTTGGGGGAGGGGGGGTAGTGGAGGGCTCCCCGTGTCTTATTTCTCTTGGGGGAGAGTGTGTGCTCCTCGTTTCTTAATTTCTCTGGGAGGGTGTAGGGGATGGGGGCTCCGTGTCTTTATTTCTCGGGGAAGGTGGGGGGGGGGGGGCGTTTCTTTATTTCTCTTTGGGGGGGAGGGGGGGTCTCGTGTCTTTATTTCTTTGTTTCTACAATATTTTGAAAAAAAACGATCACCGACTTCGGTGGTGTAGGGGACTGGTGATCCCATTGGTATAAACATGTATTTGATTGTATGTGTGTGTATATGTGTGTGTCTACGTGTGTGTGTGTGTGTGTGTGTGTGTGTGTGTGTGTGTGTGTGTGTGTGTTTGTGTGTGTGTTTATCTGTGTGTGTGTATGTACATTATCGTAGATGTCACGTATGTATTTGGGTTCCAGTGCAGTAGTGCCTCTTCAACGTGCGGGGAAAGATTTGAACTAGTGCTTTAAAAACATTCACCTGGAATTTAAGGGGCACCAAACTTGCCCTCCACCTCCCCCAACACATACACACACACAAAATCAAACACATATTATATGCAATGAATTAATAAATAAAGAAATAAATAATAAATAGATAAATAGATAAAAAATAGAAAAGAAAATAAAGAAAAGAAAAGAATTTCTATTAAATGGCTTAAGTCATCAGATCATGCTCTTAAGTATGGGGTCCCCCAGGGCTCAGTCCTCGGTCAAGTTTTGTTCACCATTTATACTCAACCACTTGTCAAGGAAATAGTTAAGTATGACTTAAAATACCATTTCTATGATGATGATACCCAAATGTATGGTTCAACATTGTTTACCAACTTAGATGAACTTGTCCATCGTGCTGAAAATTGTATTGCCTTTTTGAAAAACTGGATGAACAAAAATAAATTGATGTTGAATAATAATAAAACAGAAGTCATTCTGGCAGGCAATGCAAAGTTTGTTAAAGAGATTGACCACGATCACATTACAAATTGGTGATACAAAAATTGTATTTTCAAGAAAAGTTAAAAATC